TCCCGTTGCGGAGCACAGGCTCCAGACGCTCAGGCTCAGCGGCCATGGCTCACGGGCCCAGCCGCTCCGCGGCACGTGGGATCTTCCTAGACCGGGGCACGAACCTGCGTCTCCTGCATCAGCAGGCGGACTCTCAACCGAGAGTGAGATTCTTAATCCATGCTTAGTTTGTTGAGAACTTTTATAAGGAATAGATGTTGAATTTTATCAAATGCCTTTTAGCATCCATTAAGTTAATCATGACTTTTATCCCTTAATCTATTGATGTAATATAGTTTATTAATGGATTTCTTCGTAGGGATAAACTCTACTTGATCATAGCTTTAATAATTTAGTCATTCTCTTAACATGTAACCTAACATAGTTGTTCCATAGTTTCCCCTCTGGCATGGTATCAGGGTTATGCAGCTTCACAAAATGAATCAGGAAGCTTTGCCTTGTTTCTGTGCCTGGGAACACCTTCTATTTTGTGAGCATTATTTGCTCCTTGAAAATTTGAAGCTCAAAGCCTTATGGAGGCAATACTTTGCCAGCTTTTCAGTTTTTCCTTAGCTGTTAATTCATCTAGCTTTTCTCCTCGTGAGGATATATCTTTTTTGGTAATTTATGTTTTCTAAGGAAAAATAGAAATTTTATTGGTATTTTCTGAGTTATGTAGTTGGTACAGAATTGAAAATGGCATACTCTTAAAACTTGTAATTCCTTCCATATGTTTTGTTTTGTTGACTTTTTCATTTTGTGTCAATTTGTATTTTTATTTTTCTCCCACCCAATTCTTGAACCTTGGTTCATTAGCCTTGTCAGGTTTGTTTCTTGCTACCCCCCGTCACTGGCAAAAAGCCCCAGTTTTTGGCAGTAGGGTCTGTTGCCTAAAAGTGCAGGCTCTGGAGCCAGACCACCTGGGTTCATAGGGGTATGAAGTTAAGTGAGTTTTTCAATATAAAGTTATGGTTTCCTCATCTGTAAAACAGATTAACAATAAGATTTGCCTCACAGAATTGTGGGGAGTTGATGCATTTAAAGTGCTTAGAACAAACAGGGCCTGACACATTGTCCAAAAAGAAAACTACTACTGTTATTGTTGTGGTTATTATATTATTGTTGTTTGTCAAGTCTACATTAGCTTTTTATGTATTTTTCAGTATGAAAGTAGTACATATTACTTAATATGTGAAAAATGGGACAAAGTATAAAAAAGATTTAAAAATCACCTTTGATCCTACTACCCAAAAGTACCAATATCTTGTTATAAATATTACTTTAGATATATGACTGCCAGTGCATTTTGGTTCCCCTATATTGTGCTGGGGGAAATGCTGTTTTCTTTCCAGTTAGCTAAACAAGAAATGGGTAGCATATTTGGAGAAAACATTGAAAACTTTTCAGTAAAAAAAAAAAAAATATATATATATATATATATATACACACACACACAAACACACACACACACTGCATACACATATATTTAGAATTCTCATCTGTGAGTTAATTGGAGACCCTTTGACTCTCCATTTCATATAGGAAATCTAGGAATCTCTATTCTCATTGTTTACAGATTGGGAAAACAGTCAGCTCTTATAAGTTCACATTTACTTAATATTTTCTTTTTTACAGCTGCACAGTTGGGGATCTTCAAACCAAGATAGAAGGGTTGGAAAAGACTAATTCAAAGCTTCAAGAAGAGGTTTGTAACTTATTGAAATTCTTAAAGCAGAATGACCCAAGAAGAGAAATGGTATGGTTGGTATATCTGACCAGAGCTTTTCACTGGTAGGAATGGGAATTGCTAACCTTGGGTTGAGCTGCACACAGGACAGACATTCTCAGAATTTCATATCCTCAGAATGTCCATGTTCTGCCCTGGCCGGGGCTCCCATGAGCCAGTGCAACGGATCATGAGCCAGTTCTAAGTGACTTAGGTTTTATCACCTCACAGTGGTCCAGTAGAAGACAAGTCCTAGTTGGAAAAGCCCCACTCCTTTTGTGAACGTGCTATCCTCTTCCTCTTTTCCCACCTTTCCTATGATGTAGTGTGTCTCCCGGCTGCCCAGAAGGCACAGGCTCTTTTATGGGGTAAAAGTACCCTCGCCCCCCCATTCCGTGTCTCAGCCTCTCAGGAGCTTGGAACCAGTCTCCCCACAGTGTGGTCTTTCTCTGCTTTCTCACTAGGAAGAGAGAGAATGAAAGGACAGGAAGAAGGAGGGCTGAGGCCGAGGAAGAAAGCTTGCTGCCAGCTGACCGGCAGTCTCCTTGGTGGACACATCTTGTCTCCCGTTAGCAGGAGGGGGGTTGCTCAGCCTTTCTGAGGCTTTCCACAGGTAGCGGTCCCTGGCTGCTCGACCCTCCCCACCAAGTCTCACTGGGAAGGAAGAGGGCTGTGAGGGGGGCCAGAGAGTGACCCCCCCACGGTGTGGAGGCAGGTTACAGCCGAAAGGAGAGTCGCAGAGCGCACCTTTGTAATGGAGGACCCAGCTTAAGGCTCACTTTAAACTTCCTGTGCCCTCCTGAGGGGCCAGGCCTGAACAACTTTCAGGAGAGGAGCTCAGATTTGTAACAGGAGAAAGAAACTCAAAAATGGGCATCACGGGAGAGACTTCATCGCACTTAGAGCTGAAGGACTCGAATTCACCTGGGGGGTGGAGTGGGCCTTTGGGCCTCACTTTCCTCATCTCTAAATTGGGTGATAATTCAACACACTTACAATAGTATTATAAAGATTAAATTAGGTTAATACCGTATAAATGTGCCTTGCCCAGCACTTAGCATGTGGAGGCACTCAAGGAGACCTTAGCTGATTTTATTTTATTTATTTTTAAAATTTATTTATTTTATTTTATTTATTTATTTTTGGCTGCATTGGGTCTTCGTTGCTGCACATGGGCTTTCTCTAGTTGCGGCGAGCAGGGGCTAGTCTTCATTGTGATGCAGGGGCCTCTTTCTCATTGCGGTGGCTTCTCTTGTTGTGGAGCACGGGCTCTAGGCGTGCAGGCTTCAATAGTTGTGGTGCGCGGGCTCAGTAGGTGTGGCTCACAGGCTCTAGAGTGCAGGCTCAGTAGTTGTGGCACACGGGATCAGTTGCTCCACGGCATGTGGGATCTTCCTGGACCAGGGCTCGAACCCGTGTCCCCTGCATTGACGGGCGGATTCTTAACCACTGCACCACCAGGGAAGTCCCCTTAGTTGATTTTAGAACAAGCAGATTCACTCTTTGTTCTCCCAGATGAGGCGGCATGCTTTGGTTTTTTTTTTATATAATTTTTATTGGAGTATAGTTGATTTACAATGTTGTGTTAGTTTTAGGTGTACAACAAAGTGAATCAGCTATACATATACATATATCCACTCTTTTTTAGATTCTTTTCCCATATAGGCCATTACATAGTAATGAGTAGAGTTCCCTGTGCTATACAGAAGGTCCTTACTAGTTATCTGTTTTATATATAGTAGTTTGTATATGTCAATCCCAATCTTCCAATTTATCCCTCCCCGCCCTTTACCCCCTGGTAACCGTAAGTTTGTTTTCTACATCTGTAACTCTATTTCTGTTTTGTAGATAAGTTCATTTATACCCTTTTTGAGATTCCACGTATAAGCAATATTGTATGATATTTGTCTTTCTCTGTCTGACTTACTTCACTCAGTCTGACAATCTCTAGGTCAATCCATGTTTCTGCAGATGGCATTATTTTGTTCTTTTTTATGGCTGAGTAATATTCCACTGTGTATAGGTACTACATCTTCTTTATCCATTCCTCTGTTGATGGACATTTAGGTTGCTTCCATGTCCTGGCTACTGTAAGTAATGCTGCAGTGAGCATTGGGGTACATATATCTTTTAGAATTATGGTTTTCTCTGGATATATGCCCAGGAGTGGGATTGCTGGATCATATGGTAGCTCTATTTTTAGTTTTTTAAGGAACCTCCATACTGTTCTCCATAGTGGCTGTACCAATTTACATTCCCACGAGCAGTATAGGAGGGTTGCCTTTTCTCCACACCCTCTCCAGCAATTATTGTTTGTAGATTTTGTGTGTGTGTGTGTGTGTGTGTGTGTTACATGGGCCTCTCTGTTGTGGCCTCTCCCGCTGCGGAGCACAGGCTCTGGATGCGCAGGCTCAGCGGTCACGGCTCATGGGCCCAGCTGCTCCGCGGCATGTGGGATCTTCCCGGACCGGGGCACGAACCCGTGTCCCCTGAATCAGCAGGCGGACTCTCAACCACTGTGCCACCAGGGAAGCCCTGTTTGTAGATTTTTTCATGATGGCCATTCTGACCAGTGTAAGGTGATACCTCATTGTAGTTTTGATTTGCATTTCTCTAATAATTAGTGATGTTGACCATCTTTTCATGTGCTTTTTGGCCATCTGTATGTCTTCTTTGGAGAAATGTCTATTTAGATCTTCTGCCCATTTTTCAATTGGGTTGTTCTTTTGATATTGAGCTGCATGAGCTGTTTGTATATTTTGGAGATTAATCCCTGGTCAGTTGCTTCATCTGTAAATATTTTCTCCCATTCTGAGGGGAGGTGGCATGCTTTGAATGAAAGTCTAATTTAGCTTTTGAAACTGAACGACTGGCTTATTTTTCCTTCAAAGGCAAACAGATGTAATAGAAAATGTACTTCAGAGAAAAGTATATCTCTCACTTCAGGGTGTGCTCTCTATGTCTTCAGAGAGTAGGATGGGAATTAGCTTATGGTTTTTGGCTGCTTCTTCCCTTGCAGCAACTAGCACCTCCTTTCAAGCCTTGAAGTTTCTTACGTGGGCACAGCAGTTATGTTTAGAAACCCCAGTCCTGGGTTCTGAGTCTGAGTGGACCTAGATGTTGTTGACCAAGAGGAGGTGAGGAGTTCAGTGCTTCAGGGCCCCCCATTAGTGAATGATGCTAAGAGCACAGCCAAGTATCAAGGGCAAATGCTGGCTTCTTTCTCCTTCTCCAGCCTCACCTTCTCTCACCAGGCTGGCTCAGAGGCTGGGAAAGGACAGGTTGGTTTGGGTATTTACTCACCTCTCCTGCTAGCCTCTCCTCAGCAGGTACATGAAGGCACCTGCTCTTGTACACTTTAGCCTAAACTACGTTAACTCATTCAGGGCAAGGAAGATGTTTTCCTCGGGCACATCTTTAATGGTTTGGTTGTGATTCCTCTCCCAGCTTCTTTAATTCTCTCTCTAGTGATAAGATATCCTTTTGCTCACTGGCTAGAAAAACTAAAAAGAATGAAGAATCAGGGGGAGAAAAGCCCATAATCCCTTGGCTAAGTGACAGCTGTATATAGAGTCCCCATCTTTTCTTAAGCTTTTTTTGTTTGTTTGTTTTTGTTTTTCTTCATGATTTTTAACATAGTTTTTTTCTTTAAACTAGACGTGAGAACATACTATATAACCTGCTTTCTTATTTTTATTATATCATAAGTATGTTCTCAAGTCATTAAAAGCTTTTGTAAGTATTTTAATAACTACATATTTCTGTTTTATGCTTTCACTGTGATTTGTTAAACCATTTCTAGTATTGGACATTTAAGCTGTTTCTAATATTTTGTGTCCATAAATCTTTGCCCCCGTGAAGTAGTAATGCTATCATTTCTGTAAAACAAGAATATCTGTAGGGAGGGCAGAGATGGCTAGGGGCAGGGCTAAGAGAGATTGTACTGTTTATGTTTTTATGTCTTTGGAATTTTGAACCATGTGAATGTATTACCTATTCAAAACAAGGATAAAAAATAAAATATCACATATGTGAAAATGCATTGTCAGTTGTGAAGATGCCAAATGTTAGCTTTTAATTTGAACAGTAAGATTCATTTTGATGTTAAGAAATCTAAAAATCTTTCTTAATCAGCTTTCAGCTGCAACAGACCGAATATGTTCACTTCAAGAAGAACAGCAACAATTAAGAGAACAAAACGAATTAATTCGTGAGAAAAGCGAAAAAAGCGTAGAGGTGAGAAGTAGGCCTTGCAGCTGTGCAGCATGTTCCCCACTCAGACATGTCCATCAGAGATCTCAAGCTCAGAACGTGCAAAGATGCCTTGTTTGACACCAGAAAGTCCTGCCGCAGTGCCCTTCCGTGTCACTCTCAGGCCACCTGGACCACTTGGGGTTTCCCAAGTGCACTGCTCCCTTGCCTCTGGGCCTTTGCGAGTGAAAGTTCCTATTCCCTCTTCAGCTTCTCTCATGAGCCCGGTCCCCTGTGGTGCTGCCTCTGGCGCCCATCAGTAGGCCTGGACCCTTCTCCCGTGTTTCCATAGCTCTTTGCACCTCCCTCCATTATAGAATCCGCTTACTGTTGTGTAGAATTGTTGGCTTGCAGCTGTCTCACCTGATGACTTGAGAGTAGAGACCGTGTCTGATTCATCTCGAAATTCACCCAGTGCTAAAAATGTGCTAGATAAATACTGAATGGGGACCTTTCCCACTCAGAACGACTGTTGTATTTTAAAGAAAATTAAATTGTTTTCTGCACCTACCTTTTCAAAAATCTATTGTCTTGCTCTCATCCTTCATGTTCAGAGATATTTCGAAATAACTTTAAAATTTTAGCCTTTCTCTATTATGCTTAAAAAAATAGAAATTTTGCTGCTGTTTAAAAATACATATGTGTTATATTTTTAAGTACTTTGTAGTTAGCTTGCTTCTATAAGCACACCATTCCTCTGGTGCTCTCGTTTGATCACAGATAACAAAACAGGATACAAAAGTTGAGCTGGAGACTTACAAGCAGACCCGGCAAGGTCTGGACGAAATGTACAATGATGTGTGGAAGCAGCTGAAGGAGGAGAAGAAAGCCCGTTTGGTGAGTTTGCGGGCCTGAGAGTTACCAGGAGTCCTCGGTGTATGCCCTCTGTGTTACTTCTGTCAGCACTTTGCACACATATGCTTCAACCTGCTTTTAAAAACAAGTGAGTTTTTATGCAAATGAAGTTTTTGACATGTGGGGAAAAAATGCTCGTGGAGTATTCCTCATTGCCACCTACCCGCTTTCTGTTGACTTGATGCAGAGCCAGTGTTCACTGGAAAATGAGGAGAGGGGAAAAACTTAATCTAGTTACGCTCCAGACAGACTTGTCTGCATCTCCCTAACCTATTCCGACCTTCCGTTTGTATTTTCAGCACTGCCCAAGATACAACATCGGTTAAGTTCATTTCTGTGATGTGCTTTAATGATATTTTCCTTATTAATATCCTTTTAAGGAACTAGAAAAAGAACTGGAGCTACAAATTGGAATGAAAACCGAAATGGAAATCGCAATGAAGTTACTAGAAAAGGACACCCACGAGAAGCAGGACACTCTAGTTGCCCTGCGCCAGCAGCTGGAGGAAGTCAAAGCAATTAACTTACAGATGTTTCACAAAGTTCAGGTGGGACTTGGCTTTATGTCCACATCACAACCCTGTCTCCTGCTGCTTGTCTACAGTGGTAGAGCTTGTCACGTGCTGCCTTTCCAGTCTTGGGTCATTCTTTCCGCAGCAGGAGAGAATAGACACATCTGCGAGGGCCTAGTATTTGCAGACCTGGTCCTAGGCCATCTTACACGTTACTGCATTTATTTTATTTGAGTCTCCCGGCAATCCCTGACAAAAGTTTATAAAATGGGGGGAAATGTAAGTGACAAGGCAAAATCAAATGGCTAAGTCACATGTTCCTGGTGGCACAGCCAATAAATAGAGCTGAAAACTGAACTGTGTCTCTTGAATCTAAATCTGAACTTTGCCTGTCATACGTTCACTGTCCCCCTGCTGTCTGTTTCTGTCTACTTCAGGTACTAATCGTTTGTCCCAAGAAATGGAGAAGTGGATTAAGGATATTAGTTAGTGTTGCCTTTTCAAGCTCCGCCAATAAGTTTATCTTGCTGAGTCTCCAAGATCACCTCCCTCGTCATTTCAGAGTGGTCAAGGGGAGCTAGTCCAGAAAGAACCGGTCACGCCAGAGTTTGAAAGAGCATCTAAACACTGCAACACTTTCTTGCCCAGAAGCTACCCAGAAGGATACCATTCTGTGTCCTCAAAGCTTTTCCTTTTTTGAAGTTCTCTTTCCTATTTTATTGCCAAAACAGTCCCACTTCCTTTTCCATAGAGTGGTTTCAGTCTTACTAGTAGTAACGTCTATGTCAAAGATAATGTGAGAGCAGACGGTACAAATAAACTGTGCTATTTTGTCCGTCTTTTTTAAAATTATTACGTAATTAATATTTTTGTAATTGCAACAATGAAAATTGAAGCAAAAAGAGAAAAGGAAGAAAATAGTTTTACCCTCCCAACAAATTATCTATTTTAATTTTTTCATGTTTTCTTCTGGTTTGGGTCAGCATATAGACATACTGTTAATACACGTTAGGGGAAACTAAACTACTATAATAGCTTAAAGCATTGCAGACCAGCAGTTTTGCTCCCCACGGTCATTCAGGGATTCAGACTAACGGCAGCTCCAGCTCTCAAGGCCACTTGAGTTGTCACCATTCTTGCCAGCAGAAGTGGGGAGAAGAGCAAAAGTCCAGAGCCAGGGATTTGTTCTCAAACAGTGAGACAGCAGTTGCATCCACCATTTCTTCCGATCACATAGGAAAGGGCTAGTCAGCATGGCCGGGCTTGGCTGCAAGGGGAGCCTGGGGCTGTTGTTTCTGGGCTGCAGGCCAGGTGAAGGGGAAAGTAGGTGTGGGTAGATGCAGTTGTCACTACAACAGTCAGCCCCACTGAGCTACCGGCAAGCCCTGCTTCCTCAGAGTCCACAACCCTGGGTGATGGGCAGCACTCTCCCTCAAGCCCACAGGGCCTGTGTTCCAACCAGAAGACTATCTGTCAGTCACGTTAGCCTGTCCTGCCCAGGATGAACTGGTAGAGCAGAAACAGGATAACCATGATGAAATGCCTATTGGGAAAGAGAAAACAAGGGACACACCTGGCAGTCCCTGGCCCTCGGTGGTCATTGTGTCCTCTGGGCAGGAACCGTGAAGGCTGCCTGGGGTACTGAGGACTCCCATTTCTTAGCACGTCTGGCTACCGCTTCTGCCTTCTAGAGAGCATGTCTGCTGACCTCCTTGGCCCCTGAGGCCACCATCTTCAATGGCTGATGGGAAGTGGGCTCTCGTGGAGTGGGCTACACAGCTTTGACGGCCAGCTTCTTGCCAGTGTCAGTGTACTGGCCTGGAGGTTACATAAGGGATCCAGCAGTCAGATATTTTTCAGACCAGACTGGTGGTTTCTTGGACAATCCAGTTCCCTCTGTCACAGCCTCTGGTCTGCTTGCATCCACTTGATCCGTGTATCAGTGACCGTAGTTTGTTATGAGTAAACACAGTTCCCACACCTGCTCCGTTTCTTTGCTCTGTCAGTCTTTCTCATGTCAGTGACCAGTCATCTGGAACAACAGCTTGAGGCATGAGGAAAGCAGCCTCCTCTGATCTTTGCTGCAGGATGTCACAGGGCCATATGGCTCACTCTTCAGTCCTCTCTCTTCCTTCTGAGTCCAGAAGCAGTTGACTTTTCTAACCTGTGAGGCCCCTACCTTTGGCCTCTGTATCCCTGTCCATCTCTCCCTGCAAGCCCCTTCCTTATAGCACCTGTTCACATGGCAAGCCCCACTGCACATCCTAGCATTCTGGAGCCCTGGCACAGTTGCGTGGATTCCATCTTCCAAGTTTGGGCAAGCGACAGTTTGACTAAATGTTTGCCATAACTAACAAGGGTCACAACATCTGCTTTGACAGCACCAAACCCCTGGCTGCTGAGTCAGCACAGCATACGTTGGGTTCCCTGGGTTAGCACCACCCCCAAGTCCATCTCTGGTGCTACTGGAATTCTGGCTTCATACCCTTTTCTCCCTCTGGGCTTCAGATGCAGAAGGTGGAGTCAGTCATATCCCTCTGTTTGGGGCACTATAAGATACCCTTCCTGTTTTCTTATTTCCTTTTATCCCCCACCCCTACTCCCATCCTCTTTCCTCTAGGCCAACATTCTTAAGTGTTTATCTTTTTATTTATATTTGTCATTCTAAAACATGTTGTATCATTTTGAGGACATGAATTTTAATTTGCATAAGTGGTCTTGTGCTGTGGATCACATTCTGTTCCTTACTTTTTCTCCCTCAGTGCTACATTCATCCTCATGTATATCTGCTGTTGGCTTCTTAGTGCAGTTTAGCTTCCCAGCGTTTGTACCCACTGTGTTTTCTTGCCCTTCCCCTGGTGACGGACAAACGGTTTTCCTCCACTGCGCTAGCACAAGCAACACCTTGGCAGCTAGTGTACCCATCTCCCTCTGAAATCTCTCTGGCAGACATAATGGTAGCGTCCTCCCAACCAGACACTTCCTTTCCTCTTTTGTGTCCTTGGTTTGCATAAGCCCAGCCACAATGCTTTCTAGGAGGGCTGCTCCCTCCAGCTGTGTCCTGTGGTGCCTGTATTGTGAGGGTACAGTTGACTTAATATTCATTTCTCAGTCTAGTGAGCTTGAGCATCCCTTCATGTTGGTTGCCATTTATGCTTCTTTGTGGCTTGCCTATTCATATTTTTTGTCCTTTTTTCTTTTGGGTTTCCTATGTTTTCCTTGTTGATTAGTAATTCCATGTATGGTCCAAATTTTAGTCCTTTACTGGTTTACAGATTGTAAATATCTTCTCCTAGTCTGTCATCTACTGTCCTTAAGTCCCTATTTTTGATGTAGTCTAATGTGTTGATATGGTTTGCAGTTTGGGGATTTTGTTTTTTTTTTTGTTTTTTTTTTTCTTGCGTTATGCGGGCCTCTCACTGTCGTGGCCTCCCCCATTTGCGGAGCACAGGCTCCGGACGCGCAGGCTCAGCAGCCATGGCTCACGGGCCCAGCCGCTCCGCGGCACGTGGGATCTTCCCGAAACGGGGCACGAACCCGCCTCTCCTGCATCGGCAGGCGGACTCTCAAGCACTGCGCCACCAGGGAAGCCCAGGGGATTTTGTTTTAGAACTCTTTCTCATGCCTAGGTGTCAAAGATATTCTACACTAGTTGTCGAAACCTTTCACATTTAGGTTTTTAGTGTATCTAGAGTTAACCTTTGTATATGGCCTTACCTAGGGATCCAGTTTTCTTTTTCTCCATATAGTAAGCTGCTTAAAAGCTAATCATACTTTTCCCGTTGGTATGTCGTGCCACCTTTATCATATTATCAAGTTCCTATGTAAATGTAACTATCTCTTAGGTCTCTGTTCTGCTTGATGGTTTATTTGTCTGTTTTAATTGCCATAGCTTTGTAGTATGGTTTTTTGTTGTTGTTGTTGTTTTGTTTTGCGTACGCGGGCCTCTCACTGTTGTGGCCTCTCCCGTTGCGGAGCACAGGCTCCGGACGCGCAGGCTCAGCGGCCATGGCTCACGGGCCCAGCCGCTCTGCGGCATGTGGGATCCTCCCGGACTGGGGCACGAACCCGTGTCCCCTGCATCGGCAGGCGGACTCTCAACCACTGCGCCACCAGGGAAGCCCTGTAGTATGTTTTAATGTCTGGTTGGTTCTGTTAGTTTGCTAGGGCTACTGTAACAAAGTACCACAAACTGAGTGGCTTTACAAAAATTTGCCATCTCACAGCACTGGAGGCCAGAAGTTTCAGAGTAAGGTGTTGGCAGGAATGGTTTCCTCTGAGGGCTGTGAGGAAGTCATTCCCATCCGTCTCTCCTAGATTCTGGTGGTTGCTGGCAATATTTGGGTTTCTTTCACTTGGAGAAGTTATCACCTCTGTCTCTGCCCTCATCTTCACACAGCTTTCTCCCTGTGTGTGCATGCCTGTGCCCACATTTCCCCTTTGTATAAGGACACCAGTCATATTGGATTAGGAGCCCACCCTACTCAAGTGTGACCTCATCTTAACTAATTATGTCTGCAGTGAGTGACCCGTTTTCCAAATAAGATCCTGGGTGGTACTGGGGGTTAGGACTTCAACATAATGGATTTGGAATAGACACACTCGACCCATAACGTAGGTCAAGCCTGCCCACCTTTCCCCCTTTTTTCCCTCTTCTTTTTTTTGATTGACTTATCTATTTGTAAATGTTTATCCTTTTTTTTCTTTTTTTTTAATTGAAGTATAATTAATTTACAGTGTTGTGTTAGTTTCAGGTGTAAAGCAAAGTGATTCTTTTTCAGCTTCTTTTCTATTATAGGTTATTACAAAATACTGAATATAGTTCCCTGTGCTATACAGTAGGTCCTTATTTATCTATTTTATATATAGTGGTGTGTATCTGTTAATCCCAAATTTCTAATTTATCCCTCCTCACCCCTTTCCCCTTTGGTGACCATAAGTTTCTTTTCTAAGTCTGTGAGTCTGTTTCTCTGTTGTAAATAAGTTCATTTGTATCATGTTTTTAGATTCTGATATATGATATTTGTCTTTGTCTGTCTGACTTCACTTTAGTATGATAATCTCTTAGGTCCATCCATATTGCTGCAAATGGCATTATTTCCTTCTTTCTTATGGCTGAATAATATTCCAATGTATATAATACCATATCTTCTTTATCCTTCGTCTATTTTTTAATATAAATTTATTTATTTACTTATTTTTATTTTTGGCCGCATTGGGTCTTTGTTGCCGTGCGTGGGCTTTCTCTGGTTGCGGCGAGTGGGGGCTACTCTTCGTTGCGCTGCATTGGCTTCCCATTGCAGTGGCTTCTCTTTTTGCGGAGCATGGGCTGTAGGCACACGGGCTTCAATAGTTGTGGCACACAGGCTCAGTAGTTGTGACACGCGAGCTCTAGAGCGCAGGCTCAGTAGTTGTGGTGAATGGGCTTAGTTGCTCCGCGGCATGTGGGATCTTCCCGGACCAGGGCTCAAACCCATGTCCCCTGCATTGGCAGGCGGATTCTTAACCACTGTGCCACCAGGGAAGCCCCTATCCATTCATCAGTTGATGGACATTTAGGTTGCTTCCATATCTCGGTTATTGTAAATAGTATTGCTGTGAACATTGAGGTGCACGTATCTTTTTGAATTAGAGCTTTCGTCTTTTCCAGATACATGCCCAGGAGTGGGACTGCTGGATCATATGGTAATTCCATTTTTAGTTTTTTAAGGAACCTCCATACTGTCTTCCACAGTGGCTACACCAATTTACATTCCCACCAACAGTGTAGGATTTATTATTTGCAGACTTTTTGATGATTACCATTCTGACTGGTGTGAGGTGATAGCTTCATTGTAGTTTTTATTTGCATTTCTCTAATTAGGCAAGTTGAGCATCTTTCCATGTGCCTATTGGCCATCTGTATGTTTTCTTTGGAGAAATGTCTATGTAGGTCTTCTGCCCATTTTTTGATTGGGTTGTTTGGTGTTTTTGATATTGAGCTGTATAAGCTGTTTGTATATTTTCAAAATTAATCCCTTGTCAGTCACATCATTTGCAAATGTTTTCTCCCATTCCATAGGTTGTCTTTTCATTTTGTTTATGGTTTCCTTGCTGTGCAAAAGCTTATAAGTTTAATTAGGTCCCATTTGTTTATTTTTGCTTTTGTTTCCATTACTCTAGGAGACAAATCCAGAAAAATATTTCTCTGATTTATGTCAAAGAGTGCTCTGCCTATGTTTTCCTCTAGGAGTCTTATAGTATCCAGTATTACATTTAGGTCTTCAATCCATTTCAAGTTTTTTTGCATATGGTGTTAGAAAATGTTCTAATTTCATTCTTTTACATGTAGCTGTGCACTTTTCCCAGCACCACTTACTGAAGAGACTGTCTTTTCTCCATTGTATGTTCTTGCCTCCTTTGCTGTAGATTAATTGACCATAAGTGCTTGGGTTTATTTCTGGGCTTTGTATCCTGTTCCATTGCTCTATGTGCTGTTTTTGTGCCAGTATCATGCTGTTTTGGTTACTGTAGCTTTGTAGTATAGTCCGATTCTTGATAAAAATTTTAGAATAAGGTATAAATTTCCTTTTTAAAAAATCCAGCTGAATTTCTTAAATGGGAATTGCATTGAATTTATAGTTTACTCTCTTTATCCTTTTTTCTTCCCTAAGAGTTACATTTTCTCTAGGTGAACTCCTCAATTCTGTCTAGTTCTTGTTGCTAGTGTGCTGGGTGCCTTATTTTGGCTGCATCCCCTAGTGAGGTCTTGCTGATGTAGAGAAGTGTTTTTGTGCTTTATAGGTTGATCTTGTGTTTGACAGCCTTGCTCACCACCTAGTTCTAATAGTTTGTCTATTAATCCTGTTGGTTTTAGATGTAATTGATCATATCATAGGCAAATAAAGACAGTTTAATTTCTTCAGTCTCAGGTTTTGTGCTCCTCATTCTTTTTTGTTTCTCTTAGCATTGGCCAGGACCTCCATGACTACATTGAACAGTAGTAGGAATAGTAAGCAGATTTGTGGTCCTGATCTTAAAAGTAATGCATGTAAAAATTTCTCCATCAAGAACAATGCCTACTAGATGGTTGATATATAATCTTTACTTAGTTAAGGAAGTTCTTTTCTCTTTCTTGTTTGCTCAGAGATTTTCTCATAAATAAATGTTGAACCTTATTAAATGTTTTCAGCTTTTTTGCATTTTATCTGCTGTGATAGTCCTGTTCTTGTTCTCCCTTATTTATGTGGCAATTTATGCATTTATGTTCCTGGATTCCTGCTTGATTGTGATATATTTAAATATACTCTTGACTCAGTTAGCTAATATGTTATATATAATTTGTGTGTTTATATACGAGACAGACTTCTTTCTTTCCTTTTACTAGCCTTATTTGGCTTCAGAATCATGGTTGGACTGCTACTATAAAATAAGGTTTCCTGTTCTCTTTCTCTGAAATAACGCTTATAAGATAGAAAGTGTCTATTCTCCAAAAATTTTGAGAACGCACCCATGTTGTAGGATTCATCTGGGCTGGGCTTTTTGGGCAGGGAGACTGTGACCACCATTTCTATTTATTGAATGTTTACTGGCTTATTCATATTTTCCATTTCTTCTCAGACCAATTTTGGTATACTTTTATATTTTTTTCCAAAATGTATCTTATTTTGTTTAGGTTTTCAAATGTTTTAGTTTATAGTTGTTTATAACATTCTTTTGCAAAATTTTTAAATCTCTTTTTATTCAGCATTTTCTTTTTGCATTTTTTGTCTTTCTTCCTAATTCCGGTCTTGCCAGAGGTGTGTCTGTCCTCATAATCTTTTCAGAGAACCAGCTTTTTTTCTAATATTCTTTATTGTTTATTGTTATTATTTCTTTTTCATTGATTTCTACCCTCACTTTTATTATTTTCTTTCTTATTTCTTTGGGTTTGCTCTGTGGCTCATTTTCTTTTTTTTCTTTTTTTTCTTTTTTTTTTTTTGCGGTACGTGGGCCTCTCACTGTTGTGGCCTCTCCCGTTTGGGAGCACAGGCTCCGGACGCGCAGGCTCAGTGGCCATGGCTCACGGGCCCAGCCGCTCCGCGGCATGTGGGATCCTCCCGGACCGGGGCACGAACCCGCGTCCCCTGCATCGGCAGGCGGACTCTCAACCACTGCACCACCAGGGAAGCCCCTGTGGCTCATTTTCAACTTCTGAAATGCATGCTTAGCTCATCTGTTTTATCTTTTTTAATTTCATTAAACATTTTATTTAAAGTTAAAAATTACCCGCAAGTACTGCTTTAGCTATGGCCCTCAAATTTTGACGGAAGTATTTCACCTAAAAAGCATGTTTTTCACATTTGTCATCTCTGAAATCAAGATGCATCTTATAGTCAATGTCATGACATGTTTCAAGTAGCAGTTTTTTCCTTCATAGTGGTATATAAAATTAGGGTGCATCTTCAATGTAGTAAAATATTGCAGAGTGTTTTCCTTGTCTTTCAGCTCTAAGTATTTCATAATCTCTCTTCTGGGTTTTTTTTTTTTTTTACCTCAATAGTTTTTAGTAATATGCTATTCCATTTCCAGATATGAGGTGTTTAGCTATTCTTTTGTTCCTTAGGTCTAGTTTTATTACTTTAAAGCCAGACACTACAGTCTATATATTCTTAAGAATTTATCAGGACTTCTTTCTGTCTTCAGCCTTTCTGTAACCTTGTATTTTAAGAGTGTCTCTTGTAGGCACACAGAAACAAGTTGCTCTTTTGCTGCCTCCTAGTCACTCAGCATCTGCCATGGTTAAAAGCCTGGACTCAGAAAGTCACATGGTTGTGAGTAAGAACCCAGCTGCACCATATTTGTGCTCAGACCTTTTCCCAGGTGCTTTCTATTTCTGAGCCTCCCTCTCTTGCTCAGAGAAGTGGGGGCTAACAATGCCCACCATGAGAACTCTGCAAGAGTCAGGTGAACTCATGGATGTGCCTGACACATGAGAAGACTCAGTAACGTTGAGTCAGATCCGACTCTGAAATTCCTTTCCAAAAAGGGGCATGGTCTATTCAAACAGGGCTTCAGTATCTCCCTCTCTGCCTTTTTTTTTTCTTTTTTTCTTTTTTTCTTTTCTTGGCCTGCTGGCTTGCAGAATCTTAATTCCCCAACCAGGGAATCTTAATTCCCCAACCAGGGGAATTAATTCCCCAGCCCTGCACCACAGCAGTGAAAATACTGAGTCCTAACCACTGGAACTCCAGGAAATTCCCCCTCTGCCTTTCTTTATGTTGATGCCGTGGGAGCCTTGGCCTAGTTTGTCTTCCAGGGCTCTGGGGAAGGGCAGCAATTAATGAAACGCTCTTGAAAGTGTTATAAAAAAAAAAAGCACAAGAATAGTTGAACCCACTTGTAATCCAGAGCAGGCAGCGGGGTGAGGGAGAAGCAGAAAATAACCCTCTTTCCTTGCTTTTATAGAATGCGGAGAGCAGTTTACAACAGAAGAATGAAGCCATCACATCTTTTGAAGAAAAAACGAATCAAGTTATGTCCAGCATGAAACAAATGGAAGAAAGGTAAACACTTCCCCCGGCAGATATTCCCTAGAAGGTGCTGGGCGTTATCTGGGCCTGGGGACTTACTCAGAGTCTCTCAAAAGTACAGACAAGTTAGGATGACTGTCCTTCAGGTCCCCAGCAAGGGGACTGGATTCCCCAGCTTTGCCTAAGCATGTATTCATTTAATCAACCTTAGGGCTACATCACATTGTCCTCTCAGGGGGTTAGAACTATCCAGTGAGCTCAGATTTAAATATCAGGTTAGGACTTCCCTGGTGGCTCAGTGGTTAAGAATCTGCCTGCCACTGCAGGGGACACAGGTTCGAGCCCTGGCCCAGGAAGATCCCACATGCCGTGGAGCAACTAAGCCCATGTGCCACAACTACTGAGCCTGCTCTCTAGAGCCCGTGAGCCACAACTGCTGAGCCTGCGCGCCTAGAGCCTGTGCTCCGCAACATGAGTAGCCACAACAATGAGAAGCTTGCTCACTGCAACAGAGAGTAGCCCCTGCTCGCCACAGCTAGAGAAAGCCTGCGCACAGCAATGAAGACCAAACACAGCCAAAAGAATAAATAAATAAATAAATAAAATTTTAAAAATAAATAAATAAATTTAAATGAACAAATATCAGGTCAGAGACTTCCGTGGTGGCCCAGTGGTTAAGACTCTGTGCTTCCACTGCAGTGGGCACGGGATCAATCCCTGGTTGAGGAAGTAAGATCCCGCATGCCCTACCAAAAAGTAAAAATTTTAAAAATAAATAAGTAAATGTCAGGTCAGTAGGGGGATCAGAATAGGGTCAAAAAATAGACTCGCACAGGGCTTCCCTGGTGGCGCAGTGGTTGAGAGTCTGCCTGCCGATGCAGGGGACACGGGTTCGTGCCCGGGTCCGGGAGGATCCCACATGCTGCAGAGTGGCTGGGCCCGTGGGCCATGGCCACTGAGCCTGCATGTCCGGAGCCTGTGCTCTGCAACGGGAGAGGCCACAACAGTGAGAGCCCGCGTAGCACACACAAAAAAATAATAATAATAGACTCGCACAAATACAGGTGGCTTATTTTTTTGCAAAGGTGCAAAGGTAGTTCAATGGAGAAAGGATAATCTTTTCAGTTAATGATATTGGAACAATTGGATATCCATACACCAAAAAATGAGCCTCAATTTAGACCTCACACCTTTATACAAAAGTTAACTCAAAATGGATCATAAATCTACATGTAAAACTTAAAACTGTAAACTTTTAGAAGAAAAAATAGGAGAAAATCTTTGTGGCCTTGGGTTAGACAGAGGGCTCTTAGACATGACATAAAAACACGATCCATAAGAGAAAACTTGATAAATTGGACTTTATCAAAATTTAAAACTTTGTTCTATGGAAGACACACTTAAGAGGATAAAAAGACAAGTTATAGATTTGGAGAAAATTTGAAAATCACATATCTGACAAAGGACTTGCATCCAGAATATATAAAGAACTCTCAGAACTCCACGAACAATCCAATCTAAAATGGACAAACGACTTCCCTGGTGGTCCAGTGGGTGAGACTCCACGCTTCCAGTGCAGGGGGCCTGGTTTCAATCCAGGGATTGAACTGGGGATCCAGGGATCGATTGGGCAGCTAGATCCCACATGCATACCGCAACTAAGAAGCCTGCATGCCACAACTGTGAGCCTGCATTCTGCAGCTAAAAGATCCCGCATGCCACACTAAAATTCAGTGCAGCCTTAAATAAATAAATAAATAAAATTTTTAAATGGACAAAAGACTTAAACAGACCCTTCACCAAACAGGACATATGGATGGCAAATAAGCACATGAAAAGATTGTCAAGGTAGCAGGATACAAGATTAATATACAGAAATCTTTTGTATTTCTTTACCCTAACAATGAAATGTCAGAAAGAGAAAGTTAAAAAAAAAAAAAAATGCTGTTGAAAATTGCATCAAAAAAAAAAAAAGTACCTAGGAATAAACCTAACCAAGGAGATGAAAAACTTATACGCAGAGAACTACAAAACATTGATAAAAGAAATTGAAAATCAAAGATGATTCAAAGAAATGTAAAGATATCCCATGCTCTTGGATTGGAAGAATTAATACAGTTAAAATGACCGTACTACCCAAAGTAATCTACAGATTTAATGTGATCACCATCAAATTACCCATGACATTTTTCACAAAACTACAACATATAATCCTAAAATTTATGTGGAACCACAAAAGACTCTGAATTGCCAAAGCAATCCTGAGGAAAAAGAACAAAGCTGGAGGCATAACCCTTCCAGACTTCAAACGATACTACAAAGCTGTAGTAGTCAAAACAGCATGGTATTGGCACAAAAACAGACATATGGATCATTGGAATAGAGAGCCCAGAAATAAATCCACACACTTACATCAATTAATCTTTGACAGAGGAGGGGAGGATATACAACGGAGAAAACACAGTCTCTTCAGCAAGTGGTGTTCGGAAAGCTGGACAGCCTCATGTAAATCATTGAAGTTAGAACACTCCTTCACATCATACACAGAAATAACTTGAAATGGCTTAAAGACTTAAATATAAGACGTGACACCATAAAACTCTTAGAAGAGAACATAGGCAAAACATTCTCTGACATAAATTGTAGCAATGGTTTCTTAGGTCAGTCTCCCAAGGCAAAAGAAATAAAAGCAAAAATAAACAAATGGGACCTAATCAAACTTACAAACCTTTGCACAGCAAAGGAAACCATAAACAAAATGAAAAGACAACCTACAGACTGGGAGAAAATATTTGCAAAATGATGCAAATGACAAGGGCTTAATTTCCAAAACATACAAACACCTCAAATGACTCAATAACAGAGAAACAACACAATCAAAAAATGGGCAGAAGGGACTTTCCTGGTAGCTCAGTGGTTAAGAATCTGCCTGCCAATACAAGGGACACAGGTTTGATCCCTGGTCCGGGAAGATCCCACATGCTGCAGAACAACTAAGCCCGTGCGCCACAACTGCTGAGCCTGCGCTCTAGAGCCTGGGAGCCACAACTACTGAAGCCCACGCACCTAGAGCCCATGCTCCGCAACAAGAGGAGCCACCCTGATGAGAAGCCCGCGCACTGCAACAAAGAGTAGCCCCCACTCACCGCAACTAGAGAAAGCCCGTGTGCAGCTACAAATACCCAACACAGCCGTAAATAAATAAATACAATACAATACAATAAAAAGAAAAGGGGGGGGGGACAGAACACCTAAGTAAGCATGTCTCCAAAGAAGACATACAGTAGGCCAAAAGGCACATGTAAAGATGCTCAACATGGCTAATTATTAGAGAAATGCAAACTGAAACTACAATGAAGTATTACCTCACACCGGTCAGAATGGCCATCATCAAAAGTCTACAAATAAATTCAGGAGCGGGTGTGAAGAAAAGGGAACCCTCGTACACTGTTGGTGGGAATATAAATTGGTGCAGCCACTATGGAAAACAATATGATGGTTCCTTAAAAAACTAAAAATAGAGTTGCCATATGATCCAGCAGTCCCACTTCTGGGCATATATCCAGAAAAGATGAAAGCTCTAATTTCAAAAGATATGTGCACCCCAATGTTGATAGCAATACTACTATTTACAGTAGCCGAGACATGGAAGCAACCTAAATGTCCATCAGTAAATGAATGGATAAAAAAGATGTGAGATACATATAAACACACACACACACACACACACACACACACACACACACGGAATATTACTCAGCAATAAAAAAGAATGAAATAATGCCATTTGCAACAACATAGATGAACCTAGAAATTATCATACTAAGTGTTAAGTGAGTCAGGCAGAGAAAGACAAATACATGATATCACTTACATGCGGAATCTAAAAATGATACAAATGAACTTATTTACAGCACAGAAAGAGACTCACAGACTTAGAAAACAAACTTATGGTTACCGAAGGGGAAGGGGAGGAGGGATAAATTGGGAGTATGGGATTAACAGATATACGCCACCATATATAAACTAGATAAACAACAGAGATTTACTGTGTAGCACAGGGAACTATATTCAATATCTTGTAATAACCTATGATGGAAAAGAATTGGAAAAAGAAGAATATAGTTGTGTGTGTGTGTGTATATATATATATATATATATATATATATATATGTATGTATTGTATAACCAAGTTACTGTACACCTGAAACTAACACAATATTGTAAATCAACAATACTTGAGTTAAAAAAAAAAAAAAGGATGTTCAGCATCATTAGCCATTAGGGAAGTGCATGTTAAAATCACAATGAGATGCCACTGCACACCTATTAGAACAGCTACATATTTTTATAATGACAGTACCAGGTGCTGGAGAGGCTACAAAGCAACTGGAACAGTCATGCATTACCAGTGGGAATGCAGAATGGTACAACCACTTTGGAAAACACTTTCTTAAAAAGCCAAACATACCATATGACCCAATAATCCCACTCCTGGCTGTTTGTCCAAAAGAAATGAAAACTCATGTTCACCCAAAAACCTGTACACAAATGCTTATAGCAGCTCTGTTCATAAATGCCAAAAACTAAAAGCAGCTCAGATATCTTTCATCAAATGAATGGATAAACTGGTACATCTATGCAATGAAATTCTACTCAGCCATAAAAAGGAATGACCACTGATACACACAAAAACTTGGATTGATCACAAAGACATGCTAAAAGAAGCCAGTCTCAAAAGGTTATATGAAGTATAATTTCATGTATATGACATTAGGGGTGGAGAGAAGGTGTGACTCAGAGGGGCAGTGACAGGGTGTTTTGTGGGGTGATGGAACTATCCTGTATCCCCTGGTAGAATGGATTGTGGTAATGGTTACATGAACTTATGCCTGTGCTAAAACTCCAGGAACTATTCACAAAAAGGAGTCAATTTTACCATATATTAATTTTTAAATGTAAAAGAAAACCAGCAAGAATATGCAAAAATTATATGGTAAATGTGAGGAATGATCCTTTCCTTACAAAGATTTGGTTCATTTGGTCTAGGTTACAGCACTCAGAGAGGGCGAGGCAGGGGGCCGAGGAGCGGAGCCACAAGCTGCAGCAGGAGCTCGGCGGGAGGAGCAGCGCTCTGCAGCAACAGCTCTCCCAGCTGCTCGAGCAGTGGTAGGAGCCCTGGCGGCAGCAGGTGGCTGAGCGGTGCGGGAAGGACTGGGAAGGCCATCTCCCAATTGGGGCAGTGTCCCAGTGTCCACTTCAGAGGTGGCCCCTGCAAAGCTAGGATTCAGATGAGAAAAGAGACATCTGTTCCCTGTTTCACGAATGAGAAAAACGATTGCAGGTGGTTCAGTATAGTCCCCAGGGCTACTCAACTGGTGAGAAGGGCATCAGGATTTAGCTGCGGTTCACTTCCTACCCCTCTGTAGCTTTCTCTTTGCCCCCAACCCCCCAATATCCTCCATTGTCAGCTGGCTCTGGGTTGGAAAAAGCAGGATAAATGTTGCAGAATAAACGTCTCTTTTCCTCAGGTCTCCATCTCAGTAGAGGGTTCTGTGTGTGTGACCCCAAGTGTTAGAGCTGTTTTCCTCCCTCTCCATTCGCATAACTGTCAAGTGTGTGCCTGTGCCTGCTTCCCATGACATGTTCCTGGTCTTTCCTATGGAGGTGCAGATGGCCCTGCAGGAGAGGGAGCCTTATTTCCATGCTTTGTTGAAAGGTCTAGATGCTCACGTGGCAGTTCAGATTCCTGTGAATCCCCCGTTTCTTGAGTGGTGACCTGGGTTGTGGATTGTGGACCTCCGTGAAAATCTCTCATTGAGACTAACTCAAGTTCATTTTCCGCAAACAGCTCAAGTCTAGAGAAAGAGTTGAAATCAGAAAAAGAGCAAAGACAGGCTCTTCAGCGAGAATTACAGCATGAGAAAGACACTTCCTCTCTACTCCGAGCAGAGCTACAGCAAGTAGAAGGATTAAAAAAGGTAAGGCAGACTGTCTTGGGGAGAAAAAGAGCTTCTAGCATCTGCAGAAACTCCTGCTCAAGAGCCTTCTAGTGGGCAAGTGAGCCACACGCATGACTCGTGAATCCGCAGCTGCAGGGCCAGTCCCCGCTGTGCGCCAGGCGGCTCCAGGCCTGGGACGGGCCTGGGACACTGTTCCCACATCTGCTCTAGGAGGAAGAGGCAAAGACGCATCATAATCCAGTGAGCAAACCAGAGAGACTCGGTAATGAGAACAGTGAAGAGAGTAAAACAGTAAAACGTCCCCACACTGGCATGGTGGGTGGCCTGGGAAGAGAGTGACAGTTAAGCAGACAATTGAATGCTGAACAAGGGCCAGCCACGCAGAGCCACCAGGAAGTGTGAGGGTCTGTCGCAGCAAAGGAGCAGAAAGAAGGGCTGTGTGGCTGAGGTGTGATAGCAGAGGAAGGAGGGCTTGAGCAGAGGCCTCAGGCGGCCTTCCTGCACCACACCTTCCCTGGGGGCGGATCCCTGCAGCGGGGGCAGTTCCCAGACCTAGATTTTGTCTCGTTGAGCACGGTAATGGGTACCGCTGCAATTTGAGAGAAAGGCCCTTTGATTTCCATTGGAAAGTACCTAGAGCCCCTCATGAGAGAGGCTGCTAAGCCCAGTGTGGGGATTGCTTCCTCAAGAGCCACTCCGGCTCAGAGGTGGGAGGAGGGGACTTCTAGAAAGTTCTGCCACACGATGGAACGTGCCCCCTTTACTTCAAAATACTTTGATCTAAGATTTGAATTACACACACCCCTGCAAAAGAAACAAAACAATGTGTCTAACATCGCTGGGAAGCCTCAGCATGCCCTTGTGAGCCTGTGTTAATAGGCTCTGGAGCACAGGGCCCAGGAGCGGCTAAGGGGGAACTGCCACCACTCGGGCCTAAGCCCCGCTGCTGCCCTGGGGTCAGCCCTGAAAACCCAAGTTACTTTTCTGGGTCTTTGTCTCCGCCCTTGCCAGCCTTTGTCCTCAAGGTGTGCTGGCCCCAGATTACAAATAGTCATCAGCATCATCCCCAGTGAGCTTCACTCCATGGCTCGGGGCCTCCAGAAGGGCTTGCCACTCTCGGGGCCATGAAAGAGATCCCAGATCTTGGCCTTCATCAGCCTTGCTCATTCATTCTCAGGAAATTTTGACCAGCCCTCTCTGAAAAACAGTTTATTCCTAAACTAGCTTGCCCTGATACAAATCTGTCTTTTCATAGAAACTCAGATAGACACAGGCTTTTTTGCACTGTGAGGGTCTGTTTTGAACGTTTCTCGCCCCACGTCACTGTCTGCACTACAGAGCCACTCCTGAAGTGCTCACCTTCCAGTTGCCCATTCTGGTGAAACATGAGGGAACCTATGAAATAACCGTGTCTTGAAGAAGGTTACTACAGCAAAACTGTTTCTTGCTCTTGAAAAACATTCCAGGGACTTCCCTAGCGGTCCAGTGATTAAGACTTGGCGCTTCCACTGCAGGGGACACAGGTTCGATCCCTGGTCAGGAAATGAAGATCCTGCATGCCTCGCAGAGTGGCCAAAAAAGAAAAAACACAACAGGAAAAAAAGAAAAAGAAAAACATTCCAACTTGCTTGTCACTATGATTACTAAACCTTAAAAAAAAAAAAAGACTTTCAAGTCTGTGTCAAGCACCTGGTTTTTTCACTTTAGGAGCTGCGGGAGCTCCAGGATGAGAAGACAGAGTTACAGAAGGTTTGTGACGAGCAGGAACAAGCCCTCCAGGAAATGGGTCTGCACCTCAGCCAGTAAGAGCCCCATTCCCCTTGTCTGCCGCCTCCGTTAGGGCCACTAGGCCTCCCTGCCCCTGGAGAGTCACACCAGCCTGCCCACTGCATCACTCAAGCCCCAAACCTGTGTCCTCTTGTCAGAGGAGGGAAGGACAGTCGGGGAGGCCTGCCAGCTATTCAAGGGTGACGCCCCCACACACACACCAAACCCAGGAAGTCAGGCCCCAGGGACACAGCACTGGTTTGGGTTAATTAATTCATCAAGAATATCCTTTGCTAGTGACTGGAACCCTCATGTTCACAAACTTAGTATCTGTGTCCCAAGGGAACAAGATGGGTGATGAGAGGGTTGTGTGTTTAGCTCCAGAGGGAGGACTGTGGCTTGAGAATGTAAGCCTGCCACAGTGCAAGTATGGTGACCACTGAACCTCTCTTGAGACTGGATACTCACATCTAGCAGAGTCTGTCTGTCTGTCTCCAATGGGTGATGCTGAAGGAGTGCAGACCCTGCTGGTTCTGTCTCCCCTTCGACTTGACAGCTGTCCTCCCTGGTGTGCCAGTCCTGCCAGGTTGCTCTGGACAGTCTGATAGGTCACAGTGCAGATTGTGGAACTTGCCCGTTTGTGTGATGATTGCATTTTTAAACCCAGTGTGTAGCTTTTTCTCTTTGAGTCAGGACTCTTGGTTGCCAGTGACAGATATCCAACTCACACTGGCTTGCTTAAGCAAAAAAAAGTCATCAGGAATCAGTCTCTACCTCCCAGCTCTGTCTGTCACTTACCTCACAGGTGGGGCTGGCCCCCACGGGGGCAGTGTGGCACCCAGCAGAGCTGTCCGTCAGAGAAACGAAAGTTCCTCTTTCCCCATCACTCACACAGAGACCCCAGGTTGACTCACTGCTCCCACCTGAGTCCTGATGCAGCCACAGTGAGCAGCACAGCCCGGGCTCAGGCCCAGTGCAGAAGACACTGTGACCAGAAAAGGTCCAGAGGTAGGAACTAACGTGAGGATAAACCAGAAACACACTAAAGTAGTCCACACATGTGCACAGCCTTAGGATTTTTCTGTCTGGAAAGTTGGAAGGTTTCAAGCAGTGCTCTGGGCTGGCCCACAAAAGTATGAAGAAAAACAAGAAAGGAAAATGTTATGACTCTGGTGGGAATGTGGTCTTTTCAATAGTTTGACGTGAAGATGCTGCCCATTCGCCAAACTCTCCCACTCACCATATCTTTCTAGATCAGCCCAGGGCTGCTGGTCCCTTGTGCCCTGAGGGCTCCCTGCCACCTCTTAGGCCGAGTGCCCTGTGCTGCTGCCCCCACCGTGGGGAGAGCTCTTGGAGAGTGGGCAAGGCCAGGTGTCAACCCCACACTCAGAGCACAGGCCAGGTCTGAGGGCGTCCCTGAGACTAATGAGAACCAGATGTGGAGGCTGGCGTGGTGCTGGCTTCTTGGATTTGCAGTGGTGTTTAGACAGACGGAGAGTGAGGTGTCCTCGGGGTGCCCTCCCCCCTTCTCAGGTGGCTAGCCCCACTTTTTCTCCTGCCTGTCCTCTTCATGTTGGACAGACAGGAAACAGAGTCAGAGACACACTCCTAGTAGGCCACAGGCCTCAGAAAAGCGGACAGGCTCTGGTCTTGAAAACGCACTCCTGCACTTGGCAGCCTCCCAGCACTGCTGCCTGACCCAGCTTCAGGATGTCCTTCACAGCCGGGTTGTGTAGGTGTTGCCATGTCAGGGATACATACCACGGCAAGGCTAGTGCTTTCTCCCCTCCTCCTTTCTTTTTGCAAGCCAACACCAGATGACAGAGAAGCCTGTTCTCAGATGCCTCCACCAACTACAGGCACAGCTGCCCAGTTTATGTTGGGAACATCTGGATTCTTTTCAAATTGTATTTCCCAGGAAAGTTCTTGTATGTTGAGGCTGCCATCTTGACCTTGTCCATCCCAGACAGCCTCTGGCCCTGTCAGCCCACTGGCCTATTTCTGCAGCCAGTCAGGGGATGGAAGGAGCACCTCCAAGCACTCCTGAAGGCCGCAGGGGTTTTTCTTTTAAAGGCCTTGATGTTTGGTTTCCTAATCCTTCCCTAGAAGTCTAGGCTGTGTCTCAGAGGCCTGCCTCTCCGGCACTTAGATTAGGCTAATCCAGTGACAGCTTAGGCTAATCTCAGCTTTTAAAAAAAGGCTTTGACAAATACATATGTTTCGTTTTATCTGGTTTAATTCTTCCAGTTTAGACAATGTTCAGTCCTGTCTTTTATGTGGAGAACTAAGGAATTATTCTTGCACTAACGAGAATGGAACAAGGGGACTTCCCTGGTGGCACAGTTGTTAGGACTCCCAATGCCGGGAGCCTAGGTTCGATCCCTGGTCAGGGAACTAGATCCAGTATGCATGCCGCAACTAAGAGTTCGCATGCCACAACTAAGGACCCCGCGAGCTGCAACTAAGGAGCCCACATGCCGCAACTAAGATCCGGTGCAACCAACCAAATAAATAAATAAATATTTTTAAAAAGAATGGAACAAGAACAAACAATCATGCCCCCTGAGCCTGGCCTTTCTAGACAGAGCAGGCAGGCAGCAGGAAAGGGGCTGGTGAGAGGCCTACAGATTCAGGTTCCTGCCATGGGGGAGCCCAGGCCTGATACGGGAGCGCCCCCCTCCCCCGCCCCGACTTAAAGCACATGTCACACTCAGGAACAGTTGCCCAGAGAAGCCAGAAACATGGGCTTTTATGAGATAATTCTCAATTTTTAAATGCAGCTATTTCAAAGTCTTTTTAAATCCTTGCCAATTCAACAGTTTGTCCTTAGGCCAGACTCAGTCCACAGGCTCAGCGTCAGACTGCGCCAGACATGAGCCAACAGTGAGATGACTCTGGGATTATAAAAAGGTGGAAAGAAATAATTTTACAAGAACTCGTGTTATCACACTCCTCTCTTACAAGTCTTGTTGACTTCACAAAGCCAAAAAGTTTTTGTGGGTTTACTTCGAGTTTGAAAGCCCCACTAGTGAGGCTATGAATCTCTCTCTTTCTCGCTCTCTTTTTTTTTTTTAAGGTCAAAGCTGAAGATGGAAGACATCAAAGAAGTAAATAAGGCACTGAAGGTACTGGATTATTAATGTTATTAACGTAAGAATCACTACTCGTAGCTATTAGCTCGTGCTAATATCCTAGCATGCTCTTAGGTTTTCTCACAAAAATCAGGTGAGAATGTGTGGTTGATTGGTGGTTCTTGTCACTTATTTACAGATAAGAAAATGCTGTTCAGAGCCATTAACTTGGCTGAGATGACGATGCTGCAAGTGGCAGGGCCCAAGCTGGAACCGAGGTTCTGGTTTCTCTGCTGTCAGCTGTAGTTTGACATTAGGCCTAGATCATAGGTGCCCTAATGAAGGAAATGAAAAGTGGCAGAAAGAGATCCAGGTATTTTTTTTTTTTAATAGTGAGAGTAAGACCTTTCCCTCCAAGTGAGGGGCCAGAGGCCACACTGGCCCACTAAAGTGCCCTGCGCCATTTCTGGGAACCACTTAAGCCCTGAGCTGGGCCAAGTTTCTGGACCATTTTGGGGAGGGCAGAGTGGCGCACACAGCTTAAGGAGAGCAGGAGCATGTGGTCCAGGTGACCCCATGCAGTACCAAGCTGGGGCTGAGAGAGTGGAGAGGAGGGTGCAGGAGCTCCTAGCCTCAGCCTCAGCTCTGCTGTGGCAGCAGTGCACAAACACCCTCTTCACAAGACACCCTCCAGCGTATGCTAGAGCAGAGATCCTAATGTCTCTGACTACCAGGGCACCTCAGGTCAGAAGCAAATTGTCACAGCAACTAACAGCAGCCTGGACTTGCAGTTCACATCAGTTTACTGTATCCTCCCTTGTAGACCGAAAGCTCCTTGGATGTCATTGCTGTGAGCTGTTTATCTTTGTATCCCCTGCACTGCAGAGAAGTGTGCACAAAACGTCAGCTGACAGTGCCAGAGGGAGGATAAAAATCATAAAATGGGACTCTAGAGCTGCGTGGAACTAGTGAACCCAAGGTTGAAAGCCCTGGGTGCGGTGCTGCAGCTCCCAATCATAAGATCTCTCTGTGTCATCAGGAAAGTGATGGAGCCAAGGAGCCGTGAAAGTACACAGGGCCCTTGACCCCTGACCACCTCAGTCCCTGAGGCTGAATAAATCGCATATCCTAGTTTTCCCTTAGAAAGACCTCCAAAAGCATCTCTCTAAGCCTCAGTTGGCTCCTGGGCAGAATGGAGACATCTGCCTCCCACGATGCCCTGAGAACTGGGGGTCAGTGTGTATGGAGAAGGGCTTCCTGTCTCCACAGCACATTGCCTTCTGTCTCACGGTGGGGACTGCTGTCACCGATTTTCTAGTCTGGCTGACAGGGTTGGCCCTTCTTCCTCCTGCCAGTTCAGGAGGCACTTTGGATAATGTCTCAGCCAGGGGTGGAGTTAACCAGATCCTGATTCCGGTTACCTCAGCCACAGGGCATTTATTGAAAGGGGGTGGTGAGTCTCAGGTTAACGGAAGGCTGGAGAATCTGGCTTGAGGACTGGGGGCAACCTGTGGAGACCAGGAAGCCAGAGGGCGGGCAGGCTGCAGCACATGAGCTCCAGCTGTGGTCAGGGTGGAGGACAGTCCTGTGAGGCCACTTCTAGTGGAGAAGAGGCAGTCCCACAAAAGCAGACCAGGTGCTATTAGGAAGGGACAGCAGATGCTGGGTTGAAGGATGAACACAGCTAAAGGTTCATCAGGAACCGAGCCATAAAGTGGGATTCTGTGGTGTTCTTTCCTCCTCAGGGCCACACTTGGCTGAAAGACGATGAAGCCACGCACTGTAAGCAGTGTGAAAAGGAGTTTTCCATTTCCCGGAGAAAGGTATGTGGGGTAGCCCTCCACTCGCTCGCCCAGGGGCTGAGTTCGTGCCCTGCCTGGGCTCTCCTTCCTCTGGTTCTGGAAAAGGCCTGTGGGATTAGGCCCACTGCATTGTGTTCATGCTCACTGGTCTGCTGGCCCATGCAGACGACCTTCCAGCCTGCCCCCTTTCAGGGACCCCAGCCGGTAAGTTACAGGCCTTGTCTCCATCACAGTCCTCAATGATTTGGGAGTTGGGGCTGCTTGTTTGCAGAAATGGTCTGTGTGTATCAACTGAAAATTCTTTGGAAGCAACAGGACCAAAATCTAAGTTAGGCAAAACCAGAATCTATGGGGAACCCATGGGCAATTTAAGTCTCAGGACAGGCATCCAGGTGGCACCAAAAGGTAAATGGCAATCTGGGCAGGGCACTTGCCCCCGGTGAATGCCTGTGTAGCCTGCCTTCAGGTTCCGGAACAGGTGGTCTTGGGCCCAGCCTTTGGTCCAGGGTTGAGAGGGCCTTTATTGACCAGTTGGGCAGGACAGGGGCAGGATACAGATCTCACACAAAATAGAGCCTTTACTAAGGCTCCCCACACTGAATGGCCCAGTTCAAGGTCCACTGTCTAGCCTGACTGGCGAGTGGGGGGGCAGTTGGCAGAAGTGATGTATAGAGGGACACACAGGTCCTTGTCTTGGCGTCTGCCATGTGCCCAAGGTTCAAACAGCAGCACTGTTTACAAAAGCAAGATACCCTTCTCATGAGGGGCTGGCTAAAGAAACCTTGGGTCACCACCATGGAATGTAGCAATTGCAGAGAATGAACCCAGGCTCTTTAAGTAGCACGGACTACCAACTCAGTGAGTTAAGAGCTGTCAAGTCCAATGAAACAAAGAAAAGAACCTTAACTCACCCCTCCAAAACTCCATGGATTTTACAGGGACATAAATGTAGAAACAAGAGGTCTACAAACCCATTCCAAATTGGTACATGCCTCACTGATACATGAGGGAGGGATTTTAAAGCATTAAACTAGAGCGGGTGTGCAGACCCAGGCAGCTCAGCGTGTTCTGAGCGTATGAGTTCTTTTCCATCCTCTAGCACCACTGCCGAAATTGTGGCCACATCTTCTGCAACACGTGCTCCAGTAATGAGCTGGCCCTGCCCTCCTACCCCAAGCCAGTACGTGTGTGTGACAGCTGCCACACGCTGCTCCTTCAGCGCTGCTCCTCCTCCACCGGCTCCTAAGGTGGGGGCATCAGCAGGGACTGCTTTCTGGACCAGTTGCCAGCCTGTCTTCATGGGCGTGGGCAGCCTCAGAGCAGTGCCAAACTCTTTGGGTCTCGAGGTGGCCAGGGACTTGGGAGGTAAGTTTCCCAAGAGAACAAGATCCTCGCCTGGGCTGCTGTCACTCTGGAACACAACATGCGGGAACCAGAAACTGCGCGCCTCTCCTTTCCAAATTGTATGGATTCAGCTCCTCTGGATTGAAATTCTTCTCCCTTGACACCACTGGCTTTGGTTCAGATATAACCTTCATGATTTTGCTATTGTCATTTTTCAGTTTCCAAAGAATTAACCTATTTTGCAGCAGACCCACTAGTGTAATCAATTCCTTTCCCTCCCGGCTGCCCCAGCATGCCTTCACTGCTTCAGAGTCAAGAAATCTATTTCACACCCTTGTGAATATCCATCGTTAGCCCTGCAATAAAATCATTTATTTTTCATAGTCAAGAAATTTGCTGTGTCACACTCTTGTGAATTAATATCCATCATTATTAGCCCTGCAATAAAATCATTTATTTTTCACAGTCAAGAAATTTGCTGTTTCACACTCATGAATACCCATCATTAGCCCTGCAATAAAATCATCTATTTTTCATTCTGGTGCAGAAAATGAAGGAGCTGTGTCAGCTTCACAGGATGCCCAAAGCAACCCCCATTTCAGGACGAGGCCCTTGGTGAGGGCAACTGCATTCGAGGTGAAGACCTGAGCCTGCTGTGTTCTGGGGTGCAGGCTGCTCTGCCCAGTTGAGCCAAGGACAAGTTGTGCTGATAAGTCCAACAAGCACAGAGAAAGTACCTATCACCAAAGCCCAAAAGTTGTTCCCTTATATATTTGGGTTGGCCAAAAAGTTCGAGTTTTTCCTAATATCTTACAGAAAAACACGAATCTGTATGGCCAGCCTCCAAAACTGTGCCCAGCTCCAAAGCTGCATTCATTCCAAACTACAGATTTTCACAAGGTTCCAAAGAACCACAATGTTTCTAGAGTTCTTTCAAGTTTCTAATTCTAGTCCCTTTTCTTCCTCCAATAAGGCATGTTTTTCAACTTGTGAAAAACTAGAGGACGAGGGGAAGGAACCCTCCTTGTGTCCAATTCCCCAGACATGGAGTAACTCAGTAAAGATCTCAGGGGCAGCAGCTGAACACCAACGCTCAACAGTGCCTCCCCAGAAAATCATCAAGTACAACACTCCTGTATCCCCAACCCAACTGAAGGTATGCACCCAGCCTTCAGAGAGCGTGTGGCAGGGCAGGCAGACTGCAGGGCCCTTCACGCATACCTTCGCACAATGCTGCCATCTACAGTCTGTAAATAACGACTATCATTCCACGCAATTTTTCAGAGTACACTCACCATACTCACCTCACCCAAGAGGAAACCTTCAGCAGTCACAGCAAGTAAAAATGTACACATGTGGCTTCAAACAGCACAAGCCTATATTCACAGCTCCAATTCTTAATTCTAACCTCAATACAGCAAACTTTTTCTATTAGAGGGATGATGAATGAGTGGCAATTCCCAAACTAGTGTTAAGTATCTGAAGGGAATCCTAGAACTACACTTGTAAGAACTGCTTACTACTTTCCTAGCAAATGTCATTGAGTTCTTATATACGATAATGATTTCAATTACTGAAGTACAACTTGGTATTCTACTTCAGAAGCTTTGTAAATAAATGGAATGTCGCTCTTAAGTAGTTTTGATCTTGAGGAATGAGGCAAAAATAAAGGTTGAAACCTCAATGTGAAAGTTCTCTACGAGCTAGCTCCTTCTAGAAGATACCCCATATAAGCAAAATTCAAAAGATGCCATCAGACTAGGAAGGGGCAGCTCTAGTCAGCCACCCCTTGCCTCTGGCACTTCCTCAGCCATGCTCAAAAGGCTTCCATGGACATGCACAGCATGCAGTGAGGAGACTTCTGCCTCCCCCTTGGCTTTGTGCAAGTGCTTAGCAAGTCAAAGGCAAAAATTCAGATCAGATCCTGTGCAGCCAGGCCAGACATACAAGCCCTTCCACAGGGCCCCAGAGCTACGTTTACCTTCAGTTGCACTGGAGGGAAGAGAGGTCTGAAGACATCTACAAAACGGCCACAACTGCCAAGCCTGTCTGCCACAGCCAGAGACGTGGGCCACTGTTCACCTACGCCCCAGGCAGGAATAGATCACCAAGAAACAGTCCACATGACACTGAAGCACAGACAAGACAAAGTGCAGTTTTTAAAAGGAAGATTTATTCAACAAGTTTCACTTAGCGCAATACACCTAAAAGGAAAATCACAATACAATGAAAAGATTTAAATCAAGGCCTCAGAATTTCAAACAAACACCAAGACCAAAATCCTAAAGTATTGGTATTGCGTCTCAAATTTTCCCCATTAACTTAAAAAAAAGCTTAAACTTACGTGCCACAGAGGTTATTAAATGAAACTAGAATTAACAAACATGCCAAATGTTTCACTTTTAATTGTAGACACAGCTCCTATATTGAGTTTCACAAAAAAGCATGTCTTTCAACAATGCGTCCAAACAGTGTTCAATGTAATGTGGTGTAAGCAACATTTAACATAATTCAACTGCTTTAACCTAAATACACCTACTGCTTAAGTACGTCCTACAATATAACTAACTTGAGAAAAGCTGAAAAGTATTTAACAGTAACAGATTACTCAACCTAGTTACATCCTAAATGAATGTGTTCAAAAATACTGAACCTTAAGTCTTTAAAACAATCCTGATTTCCACTTAGAGTAAGCATAAACCACAAGTTTGTATTGCAAAACTGTTAAAACTTAAGTTTTGTTTTTTTTTTTAAAAAATGTTGACCAAGAGTCAGTGATCAGGATCAATTACATTCCCCATCCACCACTCATACTGGACATGCTAGACATCCCTCCCATTCCGTTCACTCCCATAGATGCTCGGCTTCCACTACTGTAGTAGCTGCTGTTCACTGTTCCTTGGCTGCCTGCAAAGAGATCAATTTGACAAGTCAGGATAAGTATCAGATTATCAGTCAACTAAAATATAGCATTCCAAAAAAAGTTTAAAAAGTATACGAGTACAAATGGCTGCTGTCCAAGTGGCGAGAAGCATGTTTGGGAAAAGGGACTCCCGACTCCAAACAAATCTCAATTAACCCCTTTTCTCTGCAGTACCAACTTGCCAGACTCTTGTGCTACCATTTAATTGGATGCTTCAGGATCAACGTGGAAAATTAAGTTTAAAGGAAAACTAGTGTTTTTCAAAAATTGCAAAATTACTTCATGTTGTTTTTAAAGCTAAACAAAGCATTTTAAAAAAAATTTACCATAAACATTCACAATGTGTCCATCGAATGGCATATATGAATAGGGAGCACAGGGGCAATCTCTTTGCTTTTCCTATTCATGGCGGGCAGGAAGTGAGACGACGAAGTTGGACTAAAGGCAACTCACTGTGCCCAAAATGGCAGCCTCCATGGAGTTAAATCAGAGCCATTGACTGCTATAGGAAGTGTTACTACAACATATCAGTATTTGCTATTGGGAATTTAAATTATACTTTTCGAGAAAATATTTACCTATGCAATGTTTGATTGAAAATCACTGGAGTTTTCCTGTAAAACTTGGTCTGCAAAAGGATTTTGTAGGGTAAGACTATAATACCAAAATCACCATTCTTTAGACCAATTGAAAAAATAATTAATAAAACCAATCCTAGGTTAACTGACTAGTAAATACGGTCCTAAACCCAACCACCATTCTATTATTTAAAATTCTCCCTCCATCTAAAATGGATTTATTGCTAACAAAAAGACAGAAGAAGTGAACAATTTTATTTAATGTTTTAACAAATGGAGGCAGATGTTTTCTGGCTCGACATTATTCAAAGTTGCAATAATGACTATTTTGAATTCATAGAATACTTCCCCCTCCCAATGATTGATTCTGAAAGTTAAGCTATTTGAACAGTTATATTAGGATTAAGAGCATACATTTAATAACCCAATTTCACCAAAAAGGAGCCTGAATATTCCCAACTAAAGAAACCTGCCTAAAACTTACTCAAGTATATAAAAAAACACACTTACCATATCCACTCATGCTGCTCTGGCCACCATAGCCGCCTCCATAACCACCACTCAGCTGCTGGCTGGCTGGGCCGCCATAACTGGACTGGTTTGCTGTTAAGTTAAGAGAACATTAGAACCTTGTTCCTTATGTAATGTGGTACCTGGTGGTACCGGGCTTGTAATTCTAATCTATTATTTTCCAGTCTTGATCTTACATCACTACATATAACCCTCTGTGCCCTCCTTCTGCCTACTGTCTATGACCAGACTACCTTTCTATCCATCATTTGAGCTAGTCACTTATAAACCACAAGGCCAACAGCATACACATCAGCAAGACTGAATCCACGTTTCTGTAAGTAGAGGCATTTTGACAAGACCTTATGAAAATGTTTAACTGGATTTAGTGGGATTTTCCCCCATAATTCGATATATTAAGGGTAGGTCAATACACAGGTATCACTAAACACCTGATTATGCCCCAAAATTTATTTTGATCCTGTGCTTTTTGCTAAATATTACTTTTAGATTTATACTTCATACTTATAGACAAATCAACTAGTTTCTTTCTGTAGTCCCCTCCCCCAAAAATACTTCAAACTAATTTGTTATCTAACAGTTTTATGTAACGACTTAAGGCACACATACTATTCAAATCAAAACTTTTCTTTGCCTAAATTATGCTAAACTCCTTATATATAAATTAACTTAACTTATATAATCGACATACAGATATAAACGTTTTGGTTTTTAAAAAAACTAACGATATTTACACAAGCCCATGCCTCCCATCATTTGGCTACCATAAGCACCACCGCTTGCTCCTGCTGTAGAATTCAAGAAGAGTTCTACATATCTGTGTTCTGAAATGAGAGAAAAGGCATACAAGGTTAGCTTAAAAAAAGACAC